GATACAGAGAGAGAGAGATAGATAGAGAGAGAGAGAGAGAGAGACGGCAGAGATAGAGTACACAAGAAACAAGAGAACAACGATCATAGAATAATTATAGGGGCGATGGATCCCTGTGGATACCAGCCTTTGTCGTTAGGGTGTTCAACCCCATGTGAGGAGAAGAACAATTATGACTGAAATAAATGTTGAGCAGCGAAAAAGAAAAATTGACATGAAAATTGAATGGAGGAAGAAAAAAGGGTGGAAAAAGCGACAGAAAAGGGAAAGGTGAAGATGGAATAAGAGTGAAATAGATAGTGTGTGTGTGCGCGTGTGTGTGTGTGCGTGTAATTGTGAGTGTATAGTAGAGAAAGTGAGTGTATAGTAGAGAAAGAGAAAGAGAGAGACTGACAGTTATATCTTGTTCTGTAAAGATTTACACATTAAGGATAAAGAAATAAAGGTTTTCCCAAACCAAAAACCATGGGTCAGGAAGAATTTGAAGGATTTGTTTGTGCAAAGAAACAGAGCTTTCTCACACCAGAATGATGATGAACTCAGGGACATTAATCTTAGCATTCAGAAAGAAATTGTTGATGCGAAAGGAAAATATAGAGAACAATTAGAGAGTAAATTCAGATCTAATAATCCACGTGAAGGTTGGAAGTGTATGCAAACGATGACAGGTTATAAAAAGAAGCAGAAATCTCCACCAGTGTCAGAATCTAGCTCTGTTTATGATACAGCCAATGAATTTAATACGTTTTATGCAAGATTTGATGACAAATGTTTTGATGCCGAAAGTAATAGGATTGTAAATACTTTGAAACAGTTCAATGATACACCCACTGTATGTCAGTACAATGATGTTGTCAGGTACTTCAAAAAGACTAATCCAAGAAAATCTATGGGACCGGACAGTATCTGTGGGAAAGTACTCAAAACATGTGCCTGGCAATTAGCCACCCCTTTTGTCACTCTTTTCCAAGAATCTCTGAACCAAAACCATGTCCCATTGTGCTGGAAATCATCGACAATAATACCAGCAGCCAAAACACCCCAAGCATCTGAACCCAATGACTATCGGCCAATATCCCTCACCTCATTGGTGATGAAATGTTTTGAACGCATTATTCTTCAGAAGCACATTCTCCCACAGATACTGCCTGAAATAGATCCTCTACAATTTGCCTACCAACCACGCAAATCTGTTAATGATGCTGTGTTATTGTTAATTCACTTGGTTGCACAGCATATTGACACATTGGGTCGTTATGTTCGTACAACATTCGTCGATTTTTCATCGGCTTTCAACACAATACAGCCCCATCTCTTGATGAATAAGCTTACCGCTATGAATGTAAAACCCTCTCTAATACTCTGGTTTCATGATTTTCTAACAGGCAGAATTCAAAGGGTAAAATTGCATAATGTTCTGTCTGATTACGTTACTACGAGTACAGGTTCCCCCCAGGGTTGTGTGCTGTCAGCACCATTATTTATCATGTATACAAACGATTGTATCTCGTCAAATGATAATGTCTCAGTTGTCAAATATGCTGATGACACAGCTATCATTGGCATGATCCAAGGCAACGATGAACGCCAATATCGGGAGGAGCTATTCTTGTTTGAGAATTGGTGTGAAGAAAATTTCTTGGTACTAAACATAGCTAAAACGAAAGAGATGACTTTCGATTTTCGTACAAACAAAGGTCAAGCAAATCCAATCATGCTTAAAGGAGAGGATATACAGAGTGTCAAGAGTTTTAAGTACCTTGGTACAATAATTGATAACGAACTCTCATGGAAAGACCAATGCCAATCTCTGTATGCAAAGGCTCAACAACGAATGTACTTCCTACGAAAACTGAATTCGTTCCATGTAGACAGAACCATTCTGATGTTATTCTACAAGTCAGTAATAGAAAGTGTAATGCTTTTTAGTTGTGCGGTTTGGTACGGTGGGTGCAGAAAGGATAACCTTAAGAAACTGCAGAGAATATCCAATCATGCTAGCAAGATGACTGGCGAAGTAACAGATCTGAAACAGGAATGCGTGTGTACAATACTGAAACAGGTATCCCAGATTTTGGAAAATGCTAACCACCCCCTTCATCACTGCTATACCCTAATGCGATCGGGGAAGCGGTACAGATCAATGAAGGCTCGAACCTCACGATTCCTTAATTCCTTTGTCCCGCTTTCCATTCGTAAATACAATGAACAACTCCAGTCAATTTGAATAAGCCTGTATCTTGCCACTTCGCTAGTCATCAATTTGCATTGTACCCTTTCCTTTCCTTTCCTTTCCTTTTCAACCGAATGTACCAGTATCACGAGCAAATAAATAATTAATACCCTATGATGCCATATGTTATTCCAAGTTGTAGTTATATACCGTTTAATTTATGAAGGAAAGAAAGAAGAAAGGATTCAGCTATAAAACCGTGACAAAGAATGATACATGCAATAAATACTGTTGATGATGATGATAATAATAATAATAATAATAATAATAGTAACAATAATAATTATGATAACGATAATAATGATGATGATAATAATGATAACAATAATAATAATAAAATATAACAACAATACTACTTCCAAATTCTACGCAATCGTACATTTTCAATAGTGTTGGAAGTCCTTTTATTTATCTATTTTACTTTTCTTATATAATTCCACTTTGTAAAAACGACTTAATGTTTTCATATGAATTTGTCATTGTACATGTTTCCATATGAATTTGTCATTGTACATGTTTCCATATGAATTTGTCATTGTACATGTTTCCATATGAATTTGTAATTTGTCATTGTACATTTGCTACTGTATATTATCTATTCGCGTATATTATTTTCTATTGTATATTGTTCATGTGCCTATGTAACGCCAACAAATGAATTTCCAAATGGACCAATAAAATTAATCTGAATCTGAATCTGAATCTGAATGAATCTGAATAAGGGTTATAAAAACAGTAAAAGAGAGATAGAGAGAGAGTGTGTGTGTGTGTATGTGTGTGCGCGTGTGTGTGTGCGTGTAATTGTGAGTGTATAGTAGAGAAAGAGAAAGAGAGAGAATGACAGTTAAGGGTTATAAAAACAGTAAAAGAGAGATAGAGAGAGAGTGTGTGTGTGTGTGTGTATGTGTGTGCGCGTGTGTGTGTGCGTGTAATTGTGAGTGTATAGTAGAGAAAGAGAAAGAGAGAGAATGACAGTTAAGGGTTATAAAAACAGTAAAAGAGAGATAGAGAGAGAGAGAGAGAGAGTGTGTGTGTGTGTGTGGGCGACATCATTACCATAAACATATTGACTCAAGACAATCCGTCGTAATGTTGCAAGGTCATTCATTTTAGTAAACACAAAAACATCACAGTATTGTTACCATGTTGGTTTATTAGCTTCATACCAACAGTCAAGCCAAAACGGAAGAAGGAAGAAAATCAAAGCGTTCTCTGTTTAATCATTGTTGACGGCTGTACGTCAAATCGGTGCTCCTGTGAAGATTTCCCTGCAATCAATTTCCTACCGAAATCGAATTCATAACGCAAATTCTGGAGGACTGTATCATAACCGCAACCATATTAGTTACTCAATGAAGACAATCATTTCGGATCACCAAAGCAATGTAAAACATGCACAATTTGACAATAAGGACTATTCTTATTTGTTTGTTTTACCTGACTACTTAGAAAGCATATGTAGTAGTTTGAAGTTTGAATTTTATTTATTCCACATTTACATCGAAAAGCAATTCAATTTTTTTTACAAGCTTATATTAAGTCAGAATAGATTAAACACACAAAACAAGTTAAAGATTTCAAATCAAGTATAATGTACGGAAAATAAGTATATACGAAGTTTCGAAATATATAGATTTGACAGGCAAGGTAAAACAATGTAACATGTGAGGAGCCTAAATAAAAAGCATAGCTTGTATGTGAAAAAGGTATTATAGGAGACGAAAACGGAGTAGTGTAGTATGAGATTGTAATGACATACACGAAGAGTGAATGTGAGAAGGAAAGAAAAATAGAATAAAGAGAATAGGAAATAATGAAGGAAGAAGAAAAAGAAAACAAAAAATAAGTGGAAGAAGAAGAGGCAGAAGAAGAAGAAGAAGAAGAAGAGAAAGCAAATTGATGAAATCAATGGCATTGTAAAAAGAAAAGAAAAGACAGCTTTAAGTAATCTCCGAAAGCCCTGGTAATGAGGATTAATGCCTTACAAAAGGGCACTGGCGCATCGACTTGGTTTCAAACCCGGGACTTCCCGGTTAAGAGACCAATGCTCTACCACGGAGCCATATAGCCCTTCCGTATTCTCTTTTGCAGAAGAAACGATAATTCGATCAAGGATGGAAGGGGAAAGGGAATACCTGGTAGAAAATATGGACCACATTGGTAGCAGCATCATGAATATTGTTTCCCAATGGGTTATAGTTTTACCTCCCATAATTTAATATATAAATCTTACATTCTCAAATTACTATTTATGTTTCATTCATAATATTTGTTAAATTAATTGGTGAAATTCTCAATTGAATCTGTATAATAAAATGATGCTTTCGTTTTGCACGTGAAACATAAAACTATCTGTTCTGTTTGCAGCATACGTATAGGTTACCTTCATTCCAATTATACCATGCGAAAAAATCATAATGTATATCATGAACATGTTTAAAAAATGCATCTTCTTCACTCACTCGTTAAAAGGGGAATAATCCTATTACACAAAAACCCTCCAGTTAGAAGTCCACCGCCAACAGTTCGAATAATACTAATCAACGAAAATTCAGTCAACTACAAAAAGATCTGTAATAGAAGAAATAAGTGATGTATTAATAGAGCGGTCGGAATAAACTGCTAAAAATTCATCGAAAACATACTTGCATGTTTGAATTTTTTACAACCCTTTGGTCCAATCCACAATCTATCAGTTCTACATGGTATCTGCACCACTCTGTACCACCATTATCATACGAAGCTCTAGAAAGTCTATCCGGCGGAGCTAGCCTCCTGTCTCTGGGCGGATTTCCGCTGGAGTCCGAGTTGGGAAAGGGCCGTCCTTCAGGTCTGATGAGCTGTTCTTGAGCGTTGAGCTGGGTTGTCCAGAACCGGAACTGACCGCAGAGGGCGTCGTGAAATATTTAGGTAAGCAGCATTTGAACTGGGAAAGCCATGCCATGCGCACCTGAGGCTGTCTAACGCAATACAGCATGAAGATGAAAAACCCCTGAAGAGAGTTCAGTACAGTGAAGATTCCTTGCACAACCGCACTGGCTGGTTGTATGATGCTCAGGTAACCAAGAGACCACGTGAGACCCATTAGAGTCAAGATGCAAACTGCGTTCTGGAAACGTCGAATCCGCTGGCGCTTCTCCGTCTTGTCCAGGTGTTGTCCTTTCATAGTTTTGTTTAGTCGCATGAGGACCCGAACATAGATGACAAAGTTGAAGATCATGACGACACCAATAGGTATCAGGAGCCCACTGATCACAGGCCAAAATGCAAGGAAGCAACTATAACACAAAATTGAAATGTAATAAAACATCATCTTAACAGATTTATATTTCTGAATTGAGTGTATAACACGATCACCAAGACTTGAGATAAATGTGGGTCACCTTTAGAAATGTGCGACATTACACTGACATATCACATAATGTAAATAATAATATTAAAACAAATAATAAGGACAACAATGTTACAATAAGAAAGCCCCTTTTCATTAAATACTGAGCGCATATACAAGAAATACTTACAAAGAAACATAAACAGGGAACATTATCATACAAAGCTTTACAAACGGAGAGGAACATTACAACAAATTATAAAAAGATGTGTTTTCAGACACCTCTTGAAAGCAGTGAGAGTGTGGCAACTATTTAGTGGAGGGAGTAAGGAGTTTCGGCCCTAAATTACATAGGCGGTACGCGCATATTTTTTTTTTACACAACAGTACTGTTTAGCCACTTCAGTCAAAGATACTGTGCAAACGACTAGAGACAGAGTCTAACATTACCCTCGGCAGTTTCGTTGGATTTAGCTGTACCAAAAACACCTCACTGGCTGTACATGAGTACGTACTCGTTATTTGTTTCGGGTTAAATCTATCCTCTCTTCTCTTTCATGATGTATTTCTGTGTTATCCTTCAATCTTTCCTCTTCTCTTTTGTCATGTATTTCTTTTTTTCTCTTCAATCTATTTTCTCCTTCGTTATATATTTCTTTGTTTTTTCTTCAATCTGTCCTCCAGTTCTCCTTCGTTATGTATTTCTTTTGTTCTCATTTATTCTAACCTTTCTTTTTTGTTTTATGTATTTCTTTGTTTCTCCTTCAATCTATCCTTTTCTCCTTCGTCATCTATTTCTTTGTTTTCATCTGATAGATTCCCTTTCTCCTTCTTTATGTATTTCCGGATGTACTTCTCTGGTTTTCCTTAATCTAGATCTATGATCCTCTTAGCTCTTCAATATTATCTATTTCTATGTCCTTCCTTTGACTTATCCTCTTCTCTTTTCTTATGTATTTCCTTGTTTTTCCTTCTCTATATCCTCTCCGCTATCCTTGTTTTCCCCTATAGCTATTATCTTCCCTTCACTAGGTGTACGTGCTTGTACATATATAGTGCACTGACGACTTAGACTCTTTCACCAGAGCACTTCTTGGAATGTTTTCGCGAAAATGGCTAAACAGTTGTGTAAAAAAAAATATGCGCAGGCGGTACAACAGGCTCATGAAATGGCCCTTTACTTGACTTTCAAGTTCTTTGTGATCGTGTGAAGTCATGATGCCAATATAATGGGATGTTATCTCTTACAGAGTGTCAAAGAACACGAAATTCAGTCAGTCACAACCAGGTGATATTAGATTATAAAACACAACAGTAACAACAGTACAAATCAAAAAACAAATACGTGTTCAGAATGTTAGAGGATTTTTGATAAGAAATCGATAATTTCACCATCCAGTATTTTACGCATGCATATAATTAACATTCACCTACATGAATATGTATATGGTTAACAACATATCGCATTTGAGATATAAAACACCATTGCCTTTCTAATGCAGAAGTAATTCCCCCCGCACTACCTTCGACGACTGAAGAATTTCAATATCCCGATGTGTTAAAAAAAGATATTCTGCATGAAGAAACTTACAAATCTGTCTGTGCGTAGTGTTGTCTTGAAGCACCCGCAGTAATCCCGACTATTAACAAAGGGCAACCTACAAAAAGAACAAACAATTTGAGAGTGGTCAAGTTTTTATTCGTCCTTTTCTTCCTATCCCTTTCTTTTCCCTCTTATTTCTTCTTTCTTCTTTATTTTTGTCTTTCTAATTCCTTTATGATTTTCGTTCTTTCTTTCTATATTTCTTTCCTTTACGTCTCTCAGCAAGTGACCTACATATATAATCAACATTTGCTCATCCTTTCAAGCCTCGTCATTGATTCTTGTTATCTGTTATGTTTTTAAGCTTGAACAATTTCATGGAATTAGTTTATAAGGTGTAAAAATGAGGTTACGTGTTTATGCTACTTGATTGTATGATTTTTTTTCTTGTTTTAATGGATTTTCAGGGCCCTATGAAAGACCAACTTTTGTTGAATGGGATACCCTGAAGAAATATAAATGAATGAAATATCTAAAATGAGATGAAATAAGCGAACGGGTTCAGGAATTTCTCCAGAATAGTTCTACTACATATAAGGGGCTTCAAACAAGCACTTCTTTAAATTGTATTCCCTTGCCAACAATCATGATAAGTGTGAAAAATAAATTTCCTACATTAACTTTTCAGGCGAGGAGAGGTGGTAGGTGGAGTCATGTTATAATAATCCGTTTTATCGGCGCCCCAACGGACAAACACATGATCTTCGTAAAATCTAGTAAACCCAAATACTCGGAAAACAGTGAACAACGCACAATGAATATTCTGCCCTCTCGTTCAAAGTCTGTGGATACATTTATTTCATATGTTTGCATATGGAACGAGGGAGGGGAGGGGGAAAGCCTACGTTCCATCCCCTCCTTCTAGTGACGCCCTTGTATTAATTCAAGGAGCAGATGAAATCTTACCCCATGCGATCAACGAAGCTTTCTTCATAGACCGTGGCAAATAGTAATGGTGGACCAGTACGAGGAGATTATGCATGTTGTAGCCCTCAACGGCCATCCAGAAAATAGCTGCCAGGATGAAATATTGGAGGAATGCAGCCAGGATCGAGCAAGGGAGAGGGGAGAGCTCAGTCACATCCCGTTTAGTGTCCACTGATATCATGACTATAAATACCACATAGAGTCCTAGTAAGGCACAGCAGAGGGATAGGAGAATCTGGTTGGGTTTCCGGTCTCGAAGCTTTCTGAGAGATGAAAAAGAAAACCAGAAGATACTCTGTGAATGCTGCATTATCATAATAGAATAACTAAAATTCATGAACAAATTTACAATTTCTTTAAATCCTCTAAAATGACCTTCAATTGAACATGTGGAAGTCTCAAGTTGACTTGGAATAACTTCTTTGCAGGGGAGAAATATTTGATTTGTTTCAGTTATGGTTCCGGTTAGGGTTAGGATAATCACATTTCTGTTCTCATTACGTTTAATACCATTGACAGCCTTTTTTTTCGAAACAGTGTACATTGGAGGCGAACAATAATATCGTCATCGTATTAACATGTGGAGGTTGTTATTTTACCCGACTGCTAAGAAAGCATAAATGCTTGTACGTAAGCAACCAGACGGCCGACGGCTTTATGTCATCTCCGAGGGACCTGGTAATGAGGATTAATGCCTTACCAAAGGGCACTAGCGCATCGCCTTGGTTTCGAACCTGGGTCACCGGATTACAAGACCACTCCTCTACCTACTGAGCTATCGCGTCTCCTCAATTTAGACATGTATTTCTTTTTATCAAATGTTGATGTCTAAATTAAATGAAACAAATACGATTGTATGAGATTACGCGGGTTCAAATTCTTCTCCATGTGCTGAACAAAAATGGTTTCTTATTATTTATAAAGACAATAATAATTTGGCACTGGATATTCGTACTCACTTGTTTGTGGCAAATGTAAAGATTGTCATAACAAGGCCCAATATTGAAATCAGGCAACCAACATAGCTAACGATCTCGAGGATGAAATCTGCTTCACCTGATAATTGTTCTCCTCCATAGATATCCTATAACGGAAAAAAAAATGAAGGCTTGAAATTAACTGAGAAAACATGACGTTATTATCTATTCTGAAACACAAAAAAGAGCCTCTATTTTGGGATTCGAATTTCAAATCTCACGTTGAACTTATAGGCGTAATAAAGAAAAATGATAAAACAATAATTGGGTCTTATTTACTCCGAGTAGCTTCATTAGTATTGCACGCTGATTCTTTATACGATGGAGTGAGGAATTAAACATAGGAAAAGCAGTATTTTAACTAGATCAAAGAAATAGAATCAAATACATAATTTTATTCTATGGAAAAAGAACATTGTATGTTTAATAAATATTATTATCATCCCAGTGTTTCCCGGTATTCAAAAGAAATCCCTGGGCACCTTGTACAATGATGGAAGCACAGGAAAGGATCGAATCTTGGAGACGACCTCTCGTATGTGAGTCAATAGTCTAGAATCTGGACGATTTAATAGTTTTAATATTAAATCTCCACCACCTTGATCTCCGCCTACTTTCTGCAATCCGAAGACGACGTGATCTCTGAAAAGCCTAGCGGAAAAAAATCCGAGGCTGGGCGTCCGAGATCGTTGAGTACGCCATCTTCAGCGGCTTGCAGGAAATGTGGGCGACACAAATATGAAATAAGAACCGGCCCGATTATTGACTAGCGAGTCAAGGGCCTTTACTAATAGATCACAGTGCTCCCAGACTAATGAAAGATTGGAACAAAATGCTGATGAACATATTATACGAATTTGGACCCCTAGAAAGAATAGAGCCATCAAATGAATGGCTCTTAATAGAGCCAAAAACAATCAAATACAAATAATGTACATTATTAAAATACAAAGAATACATACCTAAACAAAAGCAAATAAGTGAGAAAGGGGGAGATAAGATGATAAACCAGTACTTGGAGGGAGGGGATACAAATGTAAAGTTTCTTGTGGGGGTAAATCCCCAAACGAATCATATCTTACTGTAAAGATAGTGAATCAAAATGGGAGCGGTCATTCCAATGACCATTGCTGAGCTACCATGAGAGTTGCATTTTTCAACAATGATTTTTTTTTTTTATAAAATAAATTTGTTTTGAAGCTTTAGAGTGATACAGAGTTTAAAATGTTATTGTTATCGGTTAATCAATTACAGAAGACTTGGCCTCTGTATTTTACTCTGACTTGTTTGTCTGTCGGTAGTTTTAAAGAATATAGAGTATAGTTTATGTAAGCTTCTGGGGTTGTATTTATGGATGTAATCATTTGCTAAACACTAGTCACTATACCTTTGAGGCAAAGACCTGTTAACATGTTTTAGCATAAACTCTTGACTGGCAGACTTAGCCTGTTCAATTCAGTAAAAAGATTAAGAATGAATCAGTTTACATGAAGATATTTCGGACGAAGAGTTTAACACGTACCAAGAGAATTCCGAAGTTAGTCAGATGATTACACTCGCATTCGATCCTGTCACTGGTGTCATTACTCGTCTTGTTACATCCACGTTGAGACCAGGCTTTGTCGTCAAAGTCCCAGAATACACACTGAGCATTGGTCCCATTCTGAAAATAAAGATAAAGTAGAAATTAAACGAATTAATTTATTTTTTTCTCTAAAATGAAGTAAAATATAGTTCATTGTTATTGTCAATTGTTTTTTTTTTTTGATGGATCTATGAAGTTCTTTGTTGCATTTGCAAAATATTGTTTATGCCAATCACCCTATGATATCACAGTCCAAGGTTTACACCAGATTCTCTTGATTTGTCTTACATATCCTCTTCATCTCTATTTCATTACCTCCTTCTCTCTCTCTCTCTTTCTCTCTCTCTTTACCATAGGTATTTACTATCATGAACCTATTAATTCCTCAATCCATTTCTGCCAACTTTAAGTTTTCTCTGCTTATCATTTCGTGTCATTTTACAACGTAAATATATCCATTGAGTGACGCGATACAATTCTGTATTCGCTATAAGTTCAATAAATTAATTGTCATATCTTCTTACTGGATTTAGAGGAGTGAACGATATCCTGACTGGTTCGCTCAAATCCTCCACCTTTTCGTTATTGAAAGACGCCGATATGATCCTAGAATTCAAGGGTCCATTGTTCTCTTCTACATCTTGGTTGAACTGCGCAATCCCCGTATCCTGGAACATAGATGGCACGCGATACGTCGTGATGACGAGACGCCCTCTGCGTCCAGAGAACCTGTCCGCTAAACCCGATGGAATAAAGAGTGTAGCCTGTGCCTGGGTGGCTTCTGGCTCTTGCGTTAGGTCACCTCTTTCCACCTTGAAGTCTTCGTCAGAGATGCTCTCACCGTCATCAGTTACAGCCATGAAGACAGTATAACCTTGGCTGATGTCCTCGGGGGTCACATCAAGTACCTGAAACGGAAAGACCGAATGAGAGTGTTTTTAAAATATATAGCCAGTTCAGGTATGAACAGATAATTATCGACAGCTGGTCACAGAAACAGTCCCTGCAAGGGAGGACCCAAACATGCCATTAAAATTGGTTCGCTACTGTTCAGATGAAGTTATGTACGGCTAATCTGTAGAATATAAAATTAATCAAATATTTTTCTAACTTACATCACATAAGAAATTTGTGGCACACAAATTATGGAAATATGAAAGTGTGCAATTATATCGGATAAAAGTGATATTGCATGACAGATCTAGAAGCTAGCCTGACTTTACAAGAATCATTCCATAATCAAAGAAGTTGTGTCAGCGTATTACTTCAAGAAATTTGCATTGGATCTAGTTATTGTTCCATTCGTGTTACTGGTAGTGAGGGGAAAGGATACAAAGACAAGAGAACAAAGTACGTTTTGCGTCACGATCCAACTCGATATGTCACTTTTCTTCAGTACCCATTTGCACTACGGTCAAGGATCAAGTTTCGTTTTGTTTTGTTTGTCAATTACTGAACGTGATTTTGAGATTATTTAAATTGGTTGAGATTCACAAAACTCTTATCAGGCATGGCGCACAGGAAGGTTTATTGAGCTGATAATCATTTTGTACAAACACCTAATCCCTCATTTGAGTGGTATGACAGCCGAAGTAGAATGTCACATATATTGGACATTTTCAAAACACCCATGTCATGTGTACTTCTCTTAAACAATTGAAAAGTACAGACTGTCTGCCCTACCTCAGCAGCAACATTGGTTTCCACAAACCGACTACTTCCATTTCCCACTTCTATGACAGCAAGCTGTGCTTCGAGAGCCAAGACTACACGGCTGGGCGAGCTATTCTCTTCCTCGGCCATACCAAGCTGTTCGTCAGGTAAGGCTGCGATGTTATTTACAATTCCTACCATAGATTTCGCCACCTATTGTTCAAGAAAATGAAATATAGTATGAGTACAAGTAAAAAGTTTTGATTGCATCGTGACAGAATAATGCTGAGATCTTCCTTTGTAATTGACTTATGTAAGTATCACATTGAAAACCCTAGTAATCACTAGACAGCACTTGAATCGAGACTATTATCATGTAAGAAATGTACTAAACATTATGAGACAATGAAAAGGGGACCGTAAACTTGTTTATTAGCACTTCTACATATGAAATACCGGCTAGAGTAGTTTAAGCATTCAGCTGATAGAAACAGGTATGTTTCTTTAACCATGATTGAATAAATAGATCCAAATGAATTCGAAACAAATACCCACCTTTGTTTCTGTAGAATTTATTTCATTTATATCCTCAAGAAGTTCTGCAACTACATTGAGCCCCTCTAGAGAGATGTTCTGGCCCATGCTTGTGACGTTTTCCAACTCTTCAGCGACATTTGCTGCGTTATCTAAAGTGATTTCTACCTGCGAAATCAAATGCAGATGTTATCAAATAGAGAGAGAGACAGACAGACAGAGAAGAAGAGAGACAAAGAGAGAGCAGCAGAGATAGAGAGAGAGAGAGAGAGAGAGGAAGAGAGACACAGAGGAATGAGAGATAAAGGGAAAGACAGCGAGAGAGAAATCGAGAGAGAGAGAGAGAGAAAGAGAGAGAGAGAGAAAAGGCTAGCCAAATATGACTAACTTGTATGATAAAAATGCGATTTTTTTTTTTTTTAAACCATAGACCTTGGGTTTTCCTCACGAACTAAATAAAAAGTTGTTTATTAAATTTCAATTTAATTTCAGTTTCATTTATAATTAAATTCCCTTGTCAGTCCAATTCCATTACTTTTTCAATTTGATCCCACTTCCAATTTCATGTTTATTTGCTAACAGCGTCGTTTCAAAATGATGGTCCTGAAATTCAAGAATATACTGACGTTTCTTAAGATCTCAAGAATCTCTTCAGCAGTTAGGTTCTTTCCGCAGCTCATCTTACAAGCATTGGTATAACAGCCTTCACATGGACCAACTGTAGCCTGACCTCCTGCAAAAAAAGAAAGAAAATGTATATAATATTGATACATATTTTTGTCCCGGCTATTCATAGAGGTTTCGTATTCGAGTGTTCTGACGTTATCGTGTTCATTTTTTTACGTATTAGCCCATGAAAATATGCTACTACTACTTTAACAAAGTTATGAAGTCTTGGACTGTGCGTGGGGAAAGGCCTCCATCCCTACACACAATGCTCTACAAGATCTCCTTTTAAGTGGATTTCTCAATGTCCTTTGAAATTCGACTTAATTTATGATAATATTATGCCTTTGTATCTTGAATCTTAAATGCTTTGATTACTTTTAGACAATTGATAATGTACAATTACAAATTAATTTCATTTTCTATATTATAAAATTATTATCAAATGACGTTAACTTTGCAATTGCAAACGTCAATTGATATCAATTTTATGTGAGCATTCTTGTTATGGTTTGATTGAGTTATGGAAATACAATTATTTGAAATAGATAATATCTTGTTCATGGATTAGATAAAAGCACTACACGTGATGAAAAATATTTATAATAGACACCAGCTAGAGGACAGAAAATATGAAAAATATGAAAAATATCAATAATTTGAAGAAAATTAATAGCTAATTAGATTTTTTTTAAATATATAAATAACTAATGTATTAATTAATTATTCTAAACTGTAAAAAAGAAAGAAAAACAATTCAAATTGGACGAATTTCTGACAAACCTTCGCACGTGTAGGCTACCTCAAGGTACTTATATGTTCCAATGCACGGATCACCAGCAAGGTCATTCGTTGCAGTAATGCTGCATTGTGATCGGCCGTTACATTTTGAACCGATAACAGCCACTACGTCTGATGCACAAGACGTGTCTGATACTTGTGGGTTAGGACAGGTTGTGGTGTCACTTCGTCCGTAGACAGCGGTAGCAATGTTGATCAGGCCCTCTTCGCAATTGATTTCACCCGTCGTCCTCTCACAGATAATTATCTTAGTTTCTGAAGAAGAAAAGAGAAGACCACTGGCTTAAAGTAGCATGAACAGTATGATCCTCGCCCTTAGTTCACAGTTGTGTTTACATTCAGACCCTTCGGAAATACGAAGGCGAGGGACGAATAACGTGGAATATCATAACCATTATTCTAAGTCATGATATGCATACACTAGTTGCAAATATTTAAATATCTAGACATAGAATTCGTCATGGAGACAAATTAGGTGATTTTGTTTTGCTCCCGAAATTTTTAAAATCGAGCCGGCCGAAATATCGCTCAGGGGGGAGGGGGGGGGGGGGGGGTAGTGAGCACATTTTTTTTTTAGCCCTTGAAAATTTAAAAATTTGCATCCCCCACCCCTTGAGCTTAAAATTACGTGTTTTTACATGTTTGTTTTTCCCAGGGGGGGGGGGGGGGCCTGGGGCAAAGTGGATTGTTAATATTTTTTTAAGTTCATATCATTTAATAAAACTGATTATTTGAGAAACATTGTAAGTGTCATTTGTTAGTGGTAGTCCTAAGGTAAAAATGTAAACCAAATGTTTTGCTTTACTTTATTTTGTAATCCTGTTCTGGTTGTTCTAATTTTTGGGGTCCACTTTGCCCCGGGTTCCCCTACGGCCCTGTTACCATTAAATTTATGACAGGAGTAGGCGGTCTTAGGAGTATCGGGTCGTACATACATGTAGCAACAAGAAAAGCAATGTTAGTGGTCGAGAATCGAGAGGAGAAACTGTGCAGATGAGAATTGTAAGAGAGATAAAGTATTGATGGAGAATAAAATAAGAACCATGAAAATTCACCAAATCTGACCATGATGAGGCTACAAGGTTAGACAGGCTCAGGATAATGACAGAGGAGGGGAATAGAAAAAAATATTGATAGTACTTTCATAATCAATATAGATACGATATGAAATTTACAAATGTCCTATTTTCCCCGATATGAGGCGAAGGGTAGCCTGAATACAAAATACAGTGATATTTAACTGTATTGTGATATAAAATTGTACATGTTCTCGGGTTTCAGCCCCCCCCCCCCCCCCACATTTAATATTTAATATCGGACCTCGTAGGCCTATGACTATTGTAGTGAATGTAATGTAAGGTGTTAGACTCTTTTGAAGCTTATCTGCCGTAGTTTATAGAAGAGATTAGACTGCCCTGCAAGGTCACTGGACAGGTGGTTATCTCATCAACTTAGCTCTCAGTTAACATAAGAAAAAGAGGATCATGGGGGACCACTGGTCAATGATTAGGCATTGTTTGTTATATAGAGAGCGCAAGTAGCTACAAGTAGTGCAGTGGGCCTTTAATTTCAAATAATTCGATGCTATTTTGTCCTTCCCATATTCCCATTTTGTTTTCTAATAGAAGGAAACAAACATCTTCTCATCTCAAACAATAATGAAGGGCAGACTTAGTCATGGACGTGTTGAATCAGGATTTGCAGTGTTCAGTTATTTCACTTTTCAAATTATTTTTCCTGCAATAGAGAGTTTAAACCACACATCTTGGAAGCATCAGAAATCGCTTCATGTATTTGTATTGTATTTATTAAACATCATTGATGTACATCAATATTCTGTTTATAGACATAGTTATAATCACTTTACAATGTAATGCAACAATCGATATATAAAACATAATATAAAACATTTACAACACCTTTCTAAATAAACAATAAGTCATGCAATACGAGATATGTAAATGAGAACTAAAACAAAAGCATAAGATTGTACACGACTACTTTGTTATAACATATAGTATCTAAAATTACCCCTCATTGCAATTATGTTTTCATGTATAGCAAACATGTTTCAGTAACTAACCTTGTCCACTAACACTGTACATTGTGACAGCGACAAGAAATAATGTCGAGATAAACATTTTCCCTCCACACAGTCCCGACATGATGTATCCTGATACAATTGTCAAAACTTTGGCGTCAGATGGCGGGCTTCGATAGATCAATGGTGTGCTAAATCCTGCAAAAAATCAAAGTAAAGTAAAAGTTGCTTTACAGAAAATCTTTATTTACATACAAACAGACATATATAATAAAAACTAAAGAATGGAGGATTCGGTGTTTAAATCCAACAGTTTTAGTATGTCGACTTACTTAGCGTCTAATAATCAAGCAACGTAGGCCTACTGTGCGTCGAAAATTCGTTACCAAATAAAACTTAAATTATCTTCTCTTCTCCATTTATTGGGTAATATACCAATTCGTGGACCAATTGTCAGAAATAGCCTATATATATATATATATATATACACTGTCGTTGATATAGTTGACAAATTTTGTTTTACCCCAATTTATGGAATTATTTTGACAATGATTTATTCCTGATAGATCTAGATAATAGTATACATTCTCAGATTTTATTGAATAATAATTTGCCAGTGTTTGTTTTGCGTGACTGCTAAAGCATGTGTATGCTAGTATGCTTATCAACTAGGGGACCTACGCCCTTAAGTCATAACTGACAGTAATGAGGATTAATGCCCCACAAAAGGGCACTAATATAGCACTTCGACAGGGTATTGATTCGGGGCCCACAGTTACGAGGCCGTTGCTTTGTCACTGGACCATGAGTGTACGAAGCGGGGGCTAGGGTAGGGGGCAGTTCCAACAAATAAAAAAACTAAGAAAATTCAATAATTTTTTCAATAATTCATTGAATTTTCCCCCGGTCCCCAACATAAAAGAATCCTCTGTAAGGCCATATATAATGGCTTAAGGCATGGGCAAATTATTATTTAATAAAATCTGAGAATTTATACTATTATCTAGATCTATTAGGAATAAATCATTGTCAAAATAATTCCATAAGTTGGGGTAAAACAAAAATATTCCAACTATATGAGCGACAGTGTATATATATATATATACATAATTATTTATATGTATATGTATGTGTGGGTGTGTCTTTCTCTCTTCCCCGTCTTTCTCTCTAAATCTCCCCCTCTCCGTTGTATATAATGTATACCTTTTAAATAGATCTCTGGGATTTTCGAAGACTCTGTTGATCCGGAGTTTATCTGAGGTGACCTCTGTTTCCGGATGAGTAACGAAATATCATGAGACTTCGAAATAACAGGAAATAACACCTACCGCGTATTCGGTCTAGGCTTACTTTGTGAAAATATGGGAAAAGTCCCCAAACATGATCTGGCAAACAAACTTTACCATCTTTACTGCAGGCCTACTTGTACTAAGCAGATGCTCTAATAGTTTGCAGACACAAATAAAGCCTTGTCAGTCGCTGTGCGTTACAGTGTCTGCGCAGTGAGACAAGGCTCAGGGCATACTACAAAGGCTCTACTGAGCTGGTTTGATGCAGCAAGAGACTGGCAGAGCTAGGGTCTTTTTAATGCTTTAGGATTTGTGGTAAAGTGTCAAATAGGAGTCTGTGGCTGGTTTCCTTGAGTGGATTCCTTGACCACGACGAAAGTAAGAAGGGCATTAATACTCCGTTTATTAAAAGTAGGCCCGCATATTAAGTCAAAATCCCTCCGGTTCAAGTTTTGTTTATAAAGACTATCAAACTTTTCAGACCATCACACTCAACTGCAAAGTTTTAATTTTAGTTTGAATTTGAGATTATCAACAACAACAATTAGAACATGTAAAAAATAATGTTTCAATCATGATAACATAATATATAACAATATATCACAAGATAAATAACATTAGACATGATTAAGATCAACATTGTTTGCCAAAGTATGTTTTTATACAAATGCAAGAAAATTACTGTGATTTTTATTTAGGCAGTTGTCCATGTTCTTTGCCCTATGTGCCATATCTGTGCTCTATTACCTGACAGTATTCAATTAAATAGTGAGGAAGATTGCCATTTAATAAGTCATAGATGAAGGTTGAGACAGATCGAAAATAAAGGTTGTAAACATTTACAATGTTTATCTTTTGGAATAGGGTTCCAAATGGTTACCTCTTAGGCTAAAGGTTATCGCTCTCATCGCCATAATTCCTGGCTAGACCATCATCCATTAGAATTCGTGTAGGCACCCTACCTTTCAGCTGGGGCAAGCCACGGACTTCCCAGTGTTTATTTTCCTTCCCGATTCTTCCTATTTCCTTTTCAATTTTGTCAAATGTTTTTTCCCGATTTTTCCCGATTTTTCCCGATTTTTCACTTTTTTTTTCATATCTCCTCTAATCTCTCTGATTTTTACAAACTTTGCTTGACATGGAAACTCCTCCCCCCCCCCTCTCCCCGCTCCCGTTTATGCCACTGTCATCATAAATAGCTAAGCGTTGCTGTGCCGGAAGTTTTGCAAAAGTGAAAGTCCGTTCATACAAGCATTGCGGTGCGGCATGACCGCAGTGCTGTACCGCAATAAAGTTTAAAATATCTTTTTAATTGAAATGCCATGACTTCGCGTTGAGTTGCGTCAAAAAATAATTTATATATCGGCAAGCATAAAACAATGTACCGCTCATAAACCGTCGCGTTTCGAGTAAAAATTCAGCTTAAGTCTAATGGACCGGTCAAATTACATATGTTTGGAAACTCGAAATTCAGTCCTTGTTTTCTCATGGTCAGGGATTTAGGACAGTCGGTAAAATGTGTACACTCTTTCTTTTCAACTATAGAGCAATAATAAAGCCAAAATGATAAAGATGTGGACAAAAGTATTCACCAAATCGCGTGAATTGAGTTTGAATTTTAAATTTTCTTGGGCTAGGGAGAATGTTTCCCAGACAATCGACATCAGATACATTATATACCTTAATAAAATGAAGGAAGTTGTTTGAACATTTTGTGAGGGGCAATACAAATATATAAAATAAAAGATGTATACAAATTTTAACACATCAAGATCTATGATAAGATTATTGTACTGTGTGACGCTATATTTCATTTATTATGCTTTGTTATTATTTTGATTGTCATCTACCGCCAAAGAGAACGACTTATTCTAATTTGTTATGTTATATAGACATTCAAAACTTATAATAAACCTTTGAACTTCATTATATATTATAAAAGTGCACCATTCAGAATCATTTATTTGTGTGTCCTATAAATTACAATAAAGAGGGAGGGGGATTCTGCGACAATCAAATCAACTCTACTGGCAAATAGGTTTGTGTATATAATTGTTTGTATAGCTTACCTGTATAGCCTCTGAGATGGAGAATCCTTTGTTGAAGCTTCGGAACTTCTAAAGACTTCAATACGACAGATTCGAGAAATCAAACAACGATCACTTCAAGTGAATTCCATAAAACGTGTACGTAAATACGTGTCATCATAAATCGGACATACCAATACCAAGTTTTCTTCTTTTGTTTCTTCCCAATTATAATAATTCCGATGTTTCGAAAGTTCATAAATGTCCGCAAGTGGTTATTTTTGTGTTCACATATGGTATATAATCCAGAAACGCATTTTATTTATGTTCGTTCAATTAATGTCAACGGAAATTATGACCCACATTCAACGTGATCTTATATACTACAACCAGCGCTACGGTCTCATACTTTCACTTTCACATGATGATCTTGCTGTTTCCTTAGCTATGGGAAGCAGGAAATTCCGCAGGAGATAACAAAATGAACAATTCAAACTGGATTTATTTGATGATAGGGATACCCGTAACGGAAATAAACTCAGATCCTTCAGAAAATAAAAAAATACAATCAAGCAAAACAAGTATTTATCCCATATATAAATTTCAGAAAAAATATCACCAAACAACGACTGAGCGCACACAACTGAATTACCCATAAAACGGGAAGATATAAAAGATCAGGAAAAACGCCCCCTTATACGATTCTATATAGACGGCAATATGAATCTAGTAGGAGATGAATTCCATATAATTATGAAATGTGATGAATATAAAGATTTACGGGTAGATTTTTTTTTTAATTAGCAATTTGGAAGAAAATTGTATTAACTTACATATCATGAGATTAGACAATAAAGATATGATAGATAGTATCTCTTCGTTCACGAAAAACATAATTGCAGTAGGTGAGGGGTAACATCAAAATTCTGTGTAACAACAAAATAAAAATAAAATAAAAAAGCCTTATTGAATTTGATAAAAGATAAGTGTACAACCCTATTATTTTTTCCGTATTTCTTTTATGTATTCGACCTAAGGGGGTCGCATTTATAGGTACTATTACGTCATAGTTGTAGGCGAAACGATTATCCATTGCATTCCATGTACCTCATTTACCTATTTTGTAAGCATGGGTTATAATTTATCAGAAAATTGCTATATTATGTTTTATATATCTAAATCTTCGGATGCATTATGGTACATTATATTATTTACGTTATGCATTATGTGACATGTTATTACAAGAATAAAAAGATTCGTTTCTACTGTATCTAATTTTCCTTCTGTTTTGCTACACTGCATTGTAAATTGATCTATCAACTTATGATATATATGTTAACAAACAGAATATGGATTAGTTACATTCGTTGTAAATTGATTTATATGTTTATAAACAGATTATCGGTGAACATCAATGAAGTTTGTACGGGGGTAATTTAAGCCTCGTCCATTTCTAAACGAAGAAATACATCGAATGGCCATGGTTTGTGTTTAAAAAAAGAAAAAAGAAAAGAAGAACAAAAGTATTGATGGGCAGCCTTGTTGATCTGTTTTGATTGCCGGTTCTTAAAGAGAAAGTTCATTGATTTAAAAAACTAACTTTAAAGCTTATCTGTACTAGTTTACAGGAGGGATTAGAGCACTCTGCAAGGTCACTGGACAGGTGGTTATCTCATCAACTCAGCTCTCAAATAACATAAGAAAAACAGGATCATGGGGGACCAATGGTCACCGATTAGGCATTGTTTTCTATACAGAGGGAGCAAGTAGCTACAAGTAGTGCAGTGGGCCTTTAATGTCATTATTGCAAAGGTGACACTTTGATTGGCCAAGGTTATCAAAAGCCAATGCTTCGAAACATTCGAAATAATGATTATTAACACTTACAAAACGCTTAGATACAGCCCCGACATAGCACCTGAAGAGCTCCCCGGTCGTTGCTGAGATTATGACGTCACATCTTGAACATGACGATGTCCCATGACATCTCACACAATTTCAGTGCCTGTTTCATTCATCTTTTCTTCAGTTATTTCTCTTACTTAAATACCCTCAGGCAAAATGTTTAATCTATTGCCTCACTCTAAACCCCGTGCATGGTATTATTTTGATAAAAATGCAAGGATAAAAAAAAAGGAATCCGTCGCTTGTAAACAAAATAAGACGCCATTGTATTTTCAGCTGCATACATCGCGGCATGTTCGGCGTTTCAAGAGGGAACAAAATGACGTCCATGCTATCATTCCAGATGTTTTTTTTAATTTGAAAGTGTGGTTTCTTTGATTCAATTCAATTCAATTCAATTCAATTCATTTAATTTTCCTCTTTCAATCGTTTATATTTACAATGATGGTACATTTTAACATATTCACATATTTATATACATATAGATCAATTTGCACAATACAATACATTACAAAAATAAAAATGAAATTGAAAGGGAAGGAGGGCCGAAAAAAAGCTGAGCTTGTAGGGTGTAAGCCCCCCTGTAAAAGTAATTATTATGAATTATTATTTTATGAGAAAAAACAACAACAATAACAATAACTGATTCAGTAAAACGCAAAACATTGATATCATAAATACATACATCTAATTTATAAAAAGAAACAATCAAAGTTGCATAAAGTAACACTACAACTTATATTTGATTGGGGAATGCAATAGCCTAGTAACTATTCAGGAGAAAGCTTTTATGTCTCCTTTTAAAAATTTGTATCGAATTACACTGTATATATCATTTGAAAGAGAATTCCACAGTTTTGGACCTGTAAAAACAAATGTTCATCAACTCCTATCCTGTGTATACAAACAAAATAATTTAGTTATCAGAATGGGGGTCATATCCCTTTTTGAATGGTGTAAAATTCCATCACATTTATATACACTAAACTCATTATAATTTGAGAAATAAAAGCATTGCAATTATGTTCATTCTTTATGGGATGTCGTCTGCTTGGCCAGGGTTGGTTCATAATAATTGTGACGGCATTAAAACATTGTTATTTTCTGGCGAATCTCTCGCATATCCCAGATGCTATGGATGTTGTTTTATATGTATTTTTATAAACCACCCGATTATGTAGTTGACCTAAAACTTGTGTGATGGCCATCTGTTGGCTTACCAGTCTCTAGTAATACGCTATTAGCCATATTTGTGATTTTCTATGAACCCGCACTTTAAAGACCGTCACCACTACTGGGCCAGAAGGGATTAGACCACACAGAGAGCCATCGAGGTCACTATGACAGGTGGCTATCTCATTAACTCAGCTCTCATTTAACATAAGAAAAAGAGGATCATGGGGGACCAACAGGCACCGATTGGGGAAGTTTTCTATATAGAGGGAGCAAGTAGCTACAAGTATGGCAGTGTGCCTTTAAAGGAAGATAAAAAAAGAGAGAAATTAGGAAAGCCAAATTAATTAAGGGTCAAAGAAAAGAAAAGGATAGAAGAAATAGAAGGAAAAAAAGAAAGAGAGAGATAGAAAGAAAGAAGAATAACAGGGAAGAAGATGAAGAAGAAAAAAAGAAGTAGAGAACAAAAGAAGAAGATGATCCGGAGGAGGAGGAAAGGGAGAGGGTGGGTGTTTTACATAGTTACCATGCATAATTATATTGAGAATGCATTAATAACTGTCTGGAATGTAGGCTAGCCAAGCGCGCGTATCGACGCTCTGAACAAAACAAAAACAAATAGCTTTTCCATCATCCCATCCAGGCAGGTCAGAGCTGAGTTCAAACTTGACAAAGCATTGTGTTTGGGTAAGAAAAAGATGTGACAATTGTTTTTAAAATGCTGAGATTGGGACAAACAATCATTTAACGGGAATGGAATGGTGACAGGAATGCATTCTATACACGTATTCACAAGAAAACTTGCATAACATTACGCATTTTTTAGGACTTCAGTCCCATGTGCTGAAAATCATGTCTGATTGTTGTCGAGTTCTTAGAATTACGGATACGGGCGTGTGCACGTGTGTGTTTGCAGGTGTTTGGATTGAGATTGTAAATAAAGATTGTAATGACTGTTCACTGATTACTAAATATAACACTATTTTTATTTTAGATACGAGGAAGCAAGGTTGCAAAGACAATAAAACACATGACGAATTGTATTCCCTTTTCTTTATTATAATTTTATTGAGGTAGGTCTATTCTTCACTAGAAAAGTAGAAAGTATCAAAATAGTCTAGATCTAGATCTACTATTACTAGTCTAGTCTAGTCTAGATCTACAGCAAGTGTATTCGGGCAAATAAAATAACCATTAAGATTAAGAATGACATGAAAATTGTGGATATTACTTGGCCAATACTAGACTATATGAGATGTTCATGTAGACCACATGAATAGGGAGGCCAATGCCCAAATCTAACTTTTTAATTACTAGACACTAATTTGTTTATAATAAAAACAAAGATTAAAAGAAAGTATTTTCTTTCACTAAGAAAATTCACCTATCTGCCAACTCGAGAAGTTCCATCAAATAGGAGATATCCAGCTCTTTTTATCCAGCTTCCTTCTACGCCTATCCATACGTAAGAGCCTTGAAACAATTATATTTCATGTCGCAAAATTACGTTCATAATTAGACAGGCCCGAGGGGATTGGGCGTGTCATTGCCCGGACAACAAGTTTAAAACTTCGCGCGAAATTCCATTCATCATCAGCGGTTAGCCTTGAATCGGACGCACACACCGACACAGCTAGGTAATTGCATTGCAAGCCGCAGTCCTGAAATCGAGCCATGGAGGGACAAAACATGAACTGACAGAAAAAAACACGTAGATCTACGTGATTGTAGTCAATATAATCCTAGAAAAGAATTAAAATTAATAAGTAGGCCTACCTTAAGGTGATATTCCAAATCCAATAGTATTTCCTCATGAGTAAAGATCAATCTGACACTGCATTATCAACGATCAAGAAGTTACGAGGTCCAATTAACATCCATCTTGCAGCGAACACAATAGGACAGCAGCATGCATAGCGCATATCCATGCAACGTACGTGTACTAATATTTCTCTCACTCTCTCTCTCTCTCCCTTTCGCTATACGTAACATACACACTCACTAACCATGTATCATACAACACACACCTTCAAATCATGGCTTTCATTTCAATTCTCAATTGGAGTATAGACTGCTCACGTAGACTTATTTTTTTACTGAAATATCTTTTTTAACACTTCTCATACATTACTGCACAACACTCGTATCTAGTGCTGTGAGAATAAGGTACTAGGGTCTATAAATAAGACTGTTTTGCGCACGATCTGACAAGAGCTCAGACATATGTCGCTATACCCTTTATTTTTGGCACGAACAGTGACGTCACTGTTCACAGTTTTCCTTCTCATTTTAAGATGGATGTAGCTATAGGGCTCAATCCAACGCAAGATTAACAGAAACATCGTACTCTATCTACTTTTGAATGTTCAGTTTGTAAACATTTGTATTTAAAAAGATATAATCTTTTTTCTTTATATTTTCTAGTTGTTAGAAGTGGCAATTGTGAACATCTGAAATGTTGATCTCTATCAAAAGTTCTTTACTCAAAACGGATCCCATATTTTTAGGATCTACCTTCTGCCAATGAGAAGGTTTTTAGTGAGCAAACCTCTACGTCCTCTAGGATTTTCTTAGGCGGTTGTGCGCGCCCATCATGGTCTTCTGCTGCAACAATTATTGGATTAAAATACGTCAAAATCTGCAAGATCGTCAACAAATGGTGAAAGACTGTTACAGATCCGTGATTATAGTGTATGTTGTGAAATGTATAATTGTATTTTCTTTTCTTATTTTCATCAATTTTTATTTTTACATCATTTTTTTCCCTCTGCTAATTTTTTGAAGTGGGCGACGAGCGCACAAATCATAGGTGTAGAAGCCTTACGCCCGGGCATTGGCCTCCCTAACATGAATAAATGCAGCGAATGAAATAAGTTTTCTACAATTATTACAAATAGAAATGTCGTCCAAAATCCAATGGCAATGGAAATGATGACTGGCGCTGTCGAAGAACAACGAAAAGGGCTCACGCGATGATGTGGAGGCTTTAAGGCAGAAACACAAATTCATTCTCTGGCTGAAGAGTCGTAAAGAATGCGATGTCTGCGCTGACACTCATGAAGTTGATGATGCTCGAAATGTGGACAAAAAGAGAAGTGAAGTCTGAAGAAGTGCTGCGCTTGGCACTCGAGGAGGAAGCAGTGAATCCCTGATGCATCATAAGCATTGGTCTTGCTTTTTCATCTCTAGTCTCTATAGAATTTACACACAAATGTGTTCGTGCACACGAACAATTTTTGACAAAGATGATAGTCATACATGTAGATTTAAAAAAATGAAATTAAGTCTTGTGAATACAAATACTTTAATTAGATTTTTCTCAATTTGTACTCAGGTTTTCATGAATAGTCCATACATGAACATTTAGCTCCTATCGTGGCAATGAAAATGCAAAATTGTATTTATTGAGCAGTTGTCCAGTCAGACAAATACAGTACATGTAGTCTTCAAAAAGAAAATCAAACACTCTACCTTCAAAGTTTCACAAATATTCTAAAAATATTTCAAAGACTTTAAAGGTATGTGTGAGTGTTAATTAAATTACGAAGACAACAAATTATGTTAATAATAATCATAGTAATAATATGTTTGTTTTATTATATAGAGCTCTCACACAATTGGTTTCACTGCGCTCAATACAAGGTATGAAGACCTTGGGAAAATCAGTTAAATACATAATAAATCTTCAAGTGTCTAGAGTGAGTGCTATACGGATGATCCGGGGCAGTTGATTCCAGGGGGGGGGGGGGGGATCAAGGTAGACATTAGACAACCTCCCACTATACTGTCTGCTTGATTAATATGTTGTGTTTTATGTTGTTCTTGTTAGGCTGACCAATCTAAAAAAGATTATTTCTGCCTGGCTGTACTGTTTTTTTGTAGTTGTTCATCATTGATGATTGGATAGCGCTGTTTCTTTTCCTCTTCAGTGGGTATCATCATGTACTGTGCAGCTTCGGATTATTTGATGGTGCGGGCAATAATTTAGGTGTCGACCATGAACATGACCATGTGATTATGCCATGTTATTCAACACCTACGTGGATCCTTGTCATTTGATTGGAGGATTGTTGGTCACATAATATTCAAAATATGTTATATTGCACGACCGTGCATTTTTGGTTATATGCGCCGTGCATTTGTGGTTACATGCAGACTGCGTACCTCTCTGCCATGCGCGTATCCCTGTGTGTATCTGAAGCGAAGGCAATCTGAATGTAATCGAGAAGGCTTGACTTCAACTTTAATTTATCTTTCATATAAGGAGTGAAGCATAATTTATTGACTAACGTTCTATTAGATCTTCTTTGATGTTGTATAAAACAAATACTGAATGTTTTTCATTCGTTCAATAGTGCGAATATTTTCATTTGTTGAGATTAATATTAATTCTATTCAATTCGGCTGATGCCTCGTTGAATAGAATGTTAATCTTTCAACTCATGAAAATATTCGCACTATTGAACTCATAACCATTCATTATTTGTATATTATATTATCTGTTTGTTTGATTGTTGTTGTTGTTTATTTTTGAATTTATTTCTCTTGAAGTGTGGTAATATAAGGAATCAGCCTTGACAGGCCAATGGCCTTTGTTCATCCCTCACATCCACCACCCTTCATCCTTCTTTCATAGTGCCATGTCAATGAATGTTTTTATATTTATATTGTTTAATTTAGACTGATTTGTTTGTATATCTTCCGACGTGTTTTTAAAGAGATGTGAAATAAATTAAAATTGAATATTATTATTATTTTTGATATTATATCCTGTTATTTTATACAGTTGTGAAATCTCAAGAAACTGCAATCCAGAGCCATCACATAATGAACCACTCAGTGAGTATAATTTATCATTATTATATTCTTTTTCTTTTTGAAGTAGAAGTGAAGAAACTGGGCATACCCACAATAACAAGAACAATTTGTGGAATAATGTGGGCCTCATCGTTGCGCCATGTGTTATTTGATAGTACTCTCTGTCTTTCTCTGTGTAAAGCAAAAATCAGGCACATGCAGGCCTGATAAAAACCCAATTTAAATCAGTTTCCTGATTTTATTTTTTTTTGTTTTCCTGATTTTTTTTTAATCACAATTTTATCCTGATTTTCCTGATTTTTCCCTTATTTTCTCTATTCTTCCCTATTTTGCTCACTCAAAAAGGGGGAATGTTGTTAGATGCCCTCCCCCCCCCCCGAATCCTCTTGTTTTTGTTTCACTCAAGTGCTCACTATCACCCCTGCACATGACTTCACTCTCGTCTTCCTGTTCAACAGGAAGCTGAATGCAACATTTAAGGCAGTTCATTTCCACAGTCTGATCACTCTGATGGTATCTTGGAAAAATGTTATTTTAAAGCCAGCAGTTCTTGCATTCTGAACAACAAACTTGTGGGAATTAATGTCAGAAATTATTAGCCGCGGAGGGGATTTATAATCTCTCTCTCTCTCTCTTTTTCTCCCTTACTAAGTTCGATTCAGTAATCCATCACTTAAATGCTGTCTCTCTTCCTATTCCTATCTCTCTTTCTTTCTCACGGCAGGCTTGTGCCAGGATGTCTTACACACTAAGTAGCAGGTCTTAGAGAGAACTAGAAGGAGAGAGGTCCCCCCCCCCCTCTCACTCTCTACTTCTCTTTCTATCCCTGTCCCCCCTTCTTTTAATTGGTACTGTAATAATTCACAGGTTGTTGCTCCGTCGTCCCTTCCTTACTGTGTTGGATTCTGTAATAAGTCATATATTGTCTCTCTCCCTATCTCTCTCTCTCTCTCTTCCTCTCTCCTCTCTCTCTCTCTCTCTCTCTCTCTCTCTCTCGCCCTTCCTCTCTCCCCTCTCTCTCCTTCACTGTAAGTAATCACTCATGTATTATCTATTTCTCTCTTACACACACAGCATGCTGAAGACTGGATGTCCTGCACACTGTGCAGAGCGAACCACCAAGGACAACAGGTCTTAGAGAGAGCGAGAAGGAGAGAGGTCACTTGGCCCGAACCTAGAGAACAGGGGACCCCTCCTGTTCAGGTCAGTAATAAAGATTTAATTGTATATACATGTAGCACCTAATATGAAATATTGTAGAGGTATGGAGGATGTCTAGTGGATACATCACTGCACTGAGGATCACAGGGTTCACGCCCCACGGTCATGAGTCCCGCCTTGGCACTAATGTCCTTCAGCAAGACATTAGGGACTTAGATTCGCATGAAGACAATGGGGATTGCTACGATCGACGTCCTTTTAATGCACTGCCTTGAATGGAGGTCACACGTATCAGTCCACGCAAATCTAAAAGTCCCTATCAATCAACAGGTGATGAAAATGGGTACCCTGTAGGAAAAAAATTCCCCTAATGCTCCGCTAATGTCGAGGTAATAATAGTACAGGGCTTAGAAACATTGGCATCGACCGCTATAAAAATGTTACTATCATTATCATTATTAATCGGTTGTCTTTACATTATTTTTTTGTAGATATTGCTGTTGTTGCTTTTCTATTTTTTTTGTATTTATTATTATTATTCTTTTTTTAAATCTCCATTTTTCATTGTTGCAATTTCTCCAGGATGCTCTGACTTACACCACTATAAATGAAGCCTTTGGCAGCATCCTGCAGTATATGACTTCAAGCAGCAGACAATGTAGAGTAAGTTTTGTACTTTTAGATGGGAATCCATGACCCTTCTTACAATATGTTACACTTTGATTTAGTTTTTTTTTGTTATGCTATGCTAAGAAAGCATGTGTATGCTTGTTAGTAAGCAACCTGTATTTTTGTTCAATACAAGATGCAAAACATGAACAATAGCATCAGCAAACTTCATACATAATGTGCTGAAACAGCAGACTCTCACAGAGAGCCTTGATGGGCCAATCTAGTGGTTCACTGCATCACAGAATGACTAAATCACAAAACAGGCAATACAAAGGAACAAACTAATACCATTGTGAACGATTTCTCTCACGTTTTTATAAATCCTCATGTATTACCTCTGTAACATCTATCTTGTGTCATTCCTTTTGACAGAGATACTACTCCAGCATTCCAGCGTCTACCCATAATGCACTGGACAAGCGGCATTGTGGGAGATTTCATGCTCCGAGATACACAGAGCCCCGGAAGACGACACACCCAGTAAGTGGACCTTCCCATTCAGTAATGGATTACAATATCATCATGAGTTTGTTTGGAATGAAATCAATAGGGTGGATTCACTATAAACAGTGCCCCCACTGGCATGCCATGACAGGTAATTTTACGGTTTGAGATTGACATATTTAAACCGGTGCAGCGCAGCAAAACGCAAGCCACCGATCAAATTGACCAAAGTGATCTGACCTGCGTAAATTCATTCAATGAGATTGACTTGTCCTGATATCAGTGCACATTTCTGTATTGAATTTGGACGCGAAAATTCCATTCATCAATTGGTTCTGACTCGAATTTGGCCTGATTTTCTTTAAAATTAATACACATGGGCATTTTGGGCCAAAAAGGTTACCAAAATTATTTCAAAATTCTTGTCGAGGGCGGTCATCTTGACTATATTTTCAAGCATCAGGACAACTTCTCACAAAGAAAAAGCCCATCTAATCTCCTTTGATGATAATAATGATTGGAAAAATTACCCTTGACCAAAGATGGCTGTAAAGGTTTAAGCGAAAAAGTCACTAAAGTGACAAAAATATAGGTTCAGTAACACAAATTTTTAAGCATTCAACAGGGACAAATATGGATAATGTTAGGCCTCGGCCACAAATTCCATTACGAACACCGTAAGAACGATTATCAGACAATGGAAATTCGGGTAGACGAATTATCCTTCGTACAAACCTTTGTGACCGTAGCATTATTTTTCTCTTTTTCTTTTTTTAACAGCTGCAGAAAACTGAAGATGTTCACATCCAAGTCCAGCCTGGGACTTACGCCGTGACGGCCGGAGGCTGGGGCAGAGGCAAAGGTCAACAGACGCACGTCGTCCATGTCAACCAAGGTCAAAGTGTCAACCTTGATTTCACCATGTGACCTCGACTTCGTGAATCCACCAACGGCAGCTGATTGTATAGACTTTTTTTAGAAACTGATTGCGCTGGTGGTTTTATAGACTGATTATAATAATAATATCCCATGTTTATATAGCGCTCAATACATCGATCCAACGATGTGCCTATTAAAGCGCTTTACAGATATATTATTACCCCGGTCATCGGATTCAGGCTTACCCGCACACAATGTATGCACATTTTCCACTCCCTGGGGAGCATTCCAGCCAGTTGCCATTTTACAAACGCACACTTGCTCGTCCAACCATATGAACTTTTGCATCCTACTGGGAGCCAGAAGAAAGCTTGTCTTATCGTCTTCCCCTGTCCCTGTATCTATCTGCGCATGTGATTAACCTAGCTGTGCAGTGTAAGAGGAAGGCTGCCATCTACTGTCGAACATCGTATTTGTGGTAGGGATAATCCTCTATGGAATTGAATTTCAATATGTGTGATACACACGTCTGGCATATAGTGGCGAAAATTAAGTATTGATGTTAATTTTGTAAAAGCTGTTTAAATCATGAATGAAATTCAGCAGTAATGTTTGTTTCACAAATAAGATTAGTAACCCTTATTCCTTCTGTTGTAATCCTATTTTTGCACAAAAGTAATGGTTTCCAACCCCTTAGTTGCAAAAATGTCTGATTTAAGAACAAAGTAGAGAACTTTTATTTGCAATCTTGTTTTCAATTAATCTTTTATCCACGTTTTTATAATCACCTCTATTAAAGTTTCTAGGCAGGAACTTGTTGTACCCTTTGTCAAAATTGAGTGAGTTGGTTCACTTTTGAATATATGTTATTTTAAGGCTACAAATGGCTCTCCATACTTTTTAAGTCAAACTTAGAGTTTAGTTCAACTTAGGATCTTTGTGAAACACCCCCCTGGTCATGCAATATTGTTGAGAAAAGAAACTGGAAGCAATCGGGAAACGCGAAAGAGCATAAAAAATAATGTCCGAATGTTGAAAACCAATTGAATATGTTAAGTATTGGCTGAGATATGACCATCTAAATAAATATATCATCCTTGTTTTCACGAAGTGACGGTAGTGAGGAAAATCGTCACGCAAAGTGAATGCAATTTTTTTTTCACTACCGTCACTTCGTGAAAACAGCGACGATATGTCATATGGGAACTCAGTGTTATAGTGCTCTGGTTCCTAATGTTATGAATATGACTGCAGTTGAAGAGTCATCCTCTGCAGTGTTTTTGTTTTCTGTGAAATTCTTCCATCTTCAAATGAAAGGAATGGAAAAGCTTACACCATTTTCAATTTCCCACCTTTCCTAGAACTCACCCTTCTCTTGAATATACAGGGTGTATCATAATAAAGGATATTGAAGTTTAATGACGATTTATATGAAAACTACTGATTTCATAATCAAGCACTTATGTCTGTTGTAAAGGACAGAATGTCCTCTTTTTAATGACACCCCAATCATACTTCTACTGTCACAGTTGACTGAATAACAAAGCATTGCTGTCCACCATGTCAAAGGTGCACTGTGACAAGTTAGCATTCAAAGATTAGTGCTTGTGTCAGCCCAGACATATTGAAATGCTGAACAATGAGTGGATTATGTGTCTAAGAAGGAAATGTTATCAAACTTGGCACAGTGCACCTTTGACATGGTGGACAGCAATGCTTTGTTATTCAGTCAACTGTGACAGTAGAAGTATGATTGGGGTGTCATTAAAAAGAGGACATTCTGTCCTTTACAACAGACATAAGTGCTTGATTATGAAATCAGTAGTTTTCATATAAATCGTCATTAAACTTCAATATCCTTTATTATGATACACCCTGTATATTGGGTAACCTTGTATGGGATTATTTCCCCTCGGTATTCTGTTTCTTAAAGGTAAAGACCAGTATTGGAAACGCCCCCCTCTCAAAAAAATGAAATGGAAGCTCTTATTACCAATCATGTGAAAGAATATGTTTTGATCCGAATTTTGCTGAGAAACCACCTACTTTGATATATTTGGTAAATTATTATATCTATTTGGACCTGATAGATATACATGTAACGCATGTGTCGCACACGTGTGCGTAGTCCCATATACATCTTTCTGTGTACAGTGCTTGTAACTTTACCAAGACTGGACCAAATTTCTTATCATTTTGATGATTCCAGAACCTTGCAGTACACACCAACACTTATATGCTACATGATCAACCTTTTTTTACAATGCGATCGCATGACCATAACTGGTCTTTATCTTTAAGCCCTCCCTCCCCCCCCCCCCCCCCCCAATGCTTGCTTTAAGTGACAATGCACTCATGAGACACCATGCATGTGGGCATTGGAATTCAAGTGTAATGCAAGCATAACAATTTCAACAGAGATGGTGACATTTTCATGTTTTTCTTGAAAACAACAAGCCAAATAATAATAATATAGATCATTTAGGAGCGCTGAAAACAAAAAGTACTATATATATACAAAAAGGACTTTTAAAGATAGTTAAATCGTAAGAAGTATGTTTTAAGGCCCCACTGTCCTACTTGTAGCTACTTGCTCCCTCTATATAGAAAACTTCCCAAATCGGTGCCTGTTGGTCCCCCATGATCCTCTCTTTCTTATGTTAGTTGAGAGCTGAGTTGATGAGATAGCCACCTGTCAGTGACCTGGCTGGATGGTCTAATCCCCTCTGGCCCAGTAGTATTGACAGTCTTTAAGGGGTCTTTATTGATAGAGGCAAGACAGCTCAATTCACCGATGGACAGTTAGATATATTGCTCCATGAAGTTCAAGAACATGCTTTATACAAGCATAAGATTAACTTTTGTACAAAAAAAATGTAGATTTTAAAATGTGTATAAATTTTTAAAAATATATGCCTGTTTCTGTCTCGTTTGTTTATTTATTCATTCATTAATTGATTGATTTGTTTATTTGAATGAGATAGTGTAAATTTATATAATTGATACAATTGAATCAGTTTATACGAAGGCAAATGTGATTTTTTTTGTTTTTTTTTTGTTGAAACTCTGTTTGATTTGAGGTTGTTACTGAATGTGTTTTGAAGTTGATGCACCTACTAGTAGGTTAGGAGTGTTGAAATGTCAGTGAAAGTGAAAAGGAAAAGAGAGAGAGAGAGGGGAGGGCAGAGAAAGAGAGAGAGGAGGGCAGAGAGCGATAAAGAGAGCAAGATTTAGACGGAGAGGGGAGGAGAGAGAGGGAGAGAGAGAGAGAGGAAGAATGATAGATGGGGAGGGGGGGGGGGCGGTCTGGGGCTGAGGGGAATATATTATGGAGGCATTGGAGGAGTGGGAATAATAAACCGAAATATATTTTTGTTTTACGTTCATAGAGTTTAACAGAAAGAAACAATAGAGGCAAAGAGGTCGAATAAAAGATAAACGAAGAGAAAAGGGGCAATGTAAACAGAGAGAAGATCGAGTATGTTTCAAAAGATAAATACAAGAAGGCGAATTATTGAAATGGAGAATGAGAGAGATGCATGTAGAAAAACGGGAGAGGTGAGAGTGGGGCTTTCATACCAGAAAAACATTAGCATGATAAAGAGAGCAAAGAGTTGTTTTGCCTCAAAAATCCTTAAAGTTACTTTATTACAGTCTAGTGTTGCCACGATTAGATTAGATTACTGCTCTGTTGTATGGTCGAACAGATTTCATTCTCATACAACTAAGCTGCAAAAAATTCAAAAGAGGGCCGCAAGAATAATATTGAACAAGACATGACACACCGTCGGCTGGTTTGTTCACAAGTCTTAAATGGATGACACTAGACAAGCGGTTTGAGTTAAGTCGCGTTATGATGATATATAAATGCGTTCATAACTTAGCACCTTCTTACCTTCAGGTAGGCTTAATCAATCCTAATGATGTACATGAGCATCATACGAGGCAAATAGACAGTGGAGGTTTACGTGTGCCTAGATTTCACACTGATTGTTATAAGTGTAGCCCAATTGTTTCTTCTATATTTAAATGGAATAAGCTAGATAATTCGTTGAGAACGGCTTCCTCTGTAAATTCATTTGATAAGAGATTGTTTAAACAAAGTTGTAATTTGTGAATGGCATGTGCATGTTCTGTAATATTTACATGACTTATTCACATAATTGCGACTTAATTAATATTTTCCTATTGACATTACTGTTTACTAGGTTAATGATATATGTTTATTTTGCAAACGAGTGTTATTTGTGTAACTGTTCTGTATAAATGTTATAAACGATGTAAATGTGTTCATTCAGGGCCCCATGGAAGACCACTACTTGTTGGTGAATGGGCTACCCTGTCAAAAGATTAGAAATAAATAAATAAATAAATAAAATACCTCATTCTCTTTTTCTTTCTTTCTTCTTTCCTCTTCTCATGCTATCTCTCTCTCTCTCTCTCTCTACCCCCTCCCCTATCTCTTTCTTACAGACGGACAGACACACAACCTAGTTATTTATTGATTATCTTCCGCTCATCCCCCTTTTTCATCTCTCTCTCTCTCTCTCTCTCTCTCTTTCTCACACAGACGGATAGACACACTCCCTAGTTATAATCTTACTCTCTTATCCCCCTTTTTAAAAATCTCTCTCTCTTTCTCTCCCCTCTCTCTCTCTCTCTCTCTCTCTCTCTCTCTCCCTCTCTCTCTCTCTCTCTTTCTCTCCCCCTCTCTCTCTCTCTCTTTCTCTCTCTATCCTCCTCTCTCTATCTCACACAGATGGACAGTAGACACACACCCTAGTTATTTATGTTTTATCTTCCGCTCACCCCATTTTCCCCATCTCTCTCTCTCTCTCTCTCTCCCACTCTCTTTCTCTCTCTCTCTCTCTCTCTCTCTCTCTCTTTCTCTCTCTATTTCAATGTTGATATAACCCCTCACTCTCATACACCCTCGTTCTCCTTCTCTCACATACACTCATACGCTCACACTCACACGCACCCACACAACAACAAGACAAGCAAAAAACCAACGCAAACAAGCAAAACAACATAATATATAACAATTTAAAGAAGATAAGATGTACCCCGACTTCAATAATTTGTCTAGGCGAACATATGGCTTTTGGCTTTGGGATATTGAAGTTTTCCATTTGTCGAGTTCAAAAATCCCATAAATTTATGTTTTTGTCTTAAGCGCCTTCTACCTTGGGATATTACT